TACGATGTTAAGCTTATTATTGCATAACTACAGATTGTTGGAAGTTGAAAGGTAATTCATTTATCAAAGAATCTAAATTGTTTCATTAAGAAAACTGAGACGATGGTAGAAGATGTTAAGATTATGTAGGTCTGATGTTGTTTCTCTTTGTACGTCAGTAACATCATAATCACTTTGTTTAAAAACTTCAATTTACTGTAAGTTCTATTTGTGGTGTTTCTCTCTTTTTTCAACTCGCTACATTTCCTGTTATAGTTTCTTGTTTTTTCTTTCAGATTTTGTTATGTGTACTCACCATTGCTTTTGTAATTATGGGCTTGTATTAACTAATAGAGAGTCCTCAGTATTATAAGATATGGTTAAAGTGTAACAGAGATAGGGAAAGTAGTTTAGGCAAGTCTTATGTATTTCTGTTGTATTCCTGCATCCAAGGTCCTATTTTGCGTTGTTTTGTATTGTTATGGCTGCTGTTGCATTTTGAATTTTATATGCCATTAGCATATCAGATTAGTGATTCTCCTTCTACTCTTCTGAACCCTTCCATTTATTTATTTCTAAAGCCTCTTTAATGTCATTGATGTCATTTCAGCTTCACCTTTGACATGTTTGAAGTATCACCCTGGAAAGGGTGAAAAACTCAACTTATCCCTGAGTGGTACATTTTCTTTTTCTCTTTGGATGGAGTTGTTGGCTACAACAACCGATACACTTGGTTGTATGTTGCTCTTAGACACTCAAGTGACTTCTTGTGATGCAACTGTGAAAGGTTTGTTTAGTCTCATTAATTTTGAATATATTTTTAAAAGCTTGAGCACTCTTTTCTGAACAATGGATTTTGCTTACTGTGTTCGGAATATAGTGATGCAAACTGCTTGTTCATGGAGATGTTAGTCAGTAGAGATTGCCCATGTGAAGTTTCTCTTACTATTAACCAACAGAGTGACTATTGCCTCTATCTAGCTAGTCATGCACGGATGCATCTTGGAAAGGAATTCTTGAGGTATGCTTAAATCTTTCAGATATGTTTAGATAGGAGACAGGATATATAAGCCCGCAGATTGAAATTAATTTTCCTACTATACTTTGATTATAAGGTTTGACAGCACGAATCGCACAACTGTGAGCCGGTTCCACCTAGTTGTGCGTTTCATTTGGTAATATAACACTTACCTAGTAAGTCTGAGGACTCACCACAAATGACATGATATAATCCATGCTACCATTGGCGAC